AATATGAGGTATTTTGTGTTAATGCAAAAATAGCAATTTTAATCCTTCAAATCATTTACCACGGACGATGTTCAAAACTGTTTTAGTGGTCACTCTTATCGTAACATCTCATCAAAAGATAAGTTATTAAGATAAGATCTTAATAATGAACCTTAAACTTGATAACAATTACTTAAGACCAAGGACTTAACAAAGGACTAACTACTTTTTAAGACAAGGATTGTTTTTACTGAGTGCAATACCAAAAAGGTGGCGCAGTCAGAACACTTACCCTTAGTTTCTTTAACGCTCTCTCTTCATTGTTATTTCCTCTTTCGTTTCCACTATCCTACTATTCAAGATATGCAATTTTCCATTATTTCAACAAAGTGGGTTAGATCCTCATGCACCTCACACTCTATTCATACCTGATAGCCTAAATTTCTACAAATGTACATTAAATAATCCATGACCAGGGGTCAACAATGAATGCCCTTGCTGGACATGGCCGCATTATCGACCCTTCTCTGGCAAATCTATACATTTCCCTGCCATTGTCCAATTCTCTCAATCTCCTCTTTAATGCCTCCCGCGCTTCCTTATAATACCTCGTTCCTAACATACAGTTCTGTTCACATACTATCCTCCCACTTCCTAGCCATTCTAATACCACTATTGTATCTTCTCTTCGTATACTTACAAACTATCTCACTATCCATTTTCCCACTTCTCCTTTTGCGTCTTCTCAGTCACTTCACGGTCCTTACGTTAGACACTCTAGCTTGACCTGATCAATTCTACACCCAACCTGATCGTCTGCAGCTCAGTTTGTGTTGTCTACCAGTATGTGTTGTACAGCTAAGCCGCAACCTTTCCTTTTATCCAACCGTGTACATTTTTAAAACAACTTTTTCCATATCAACAAACAAGCATGTATTATGAACAAACGGAGATCCTACACACAGTACTGGCATTTTGTGATATGATCTAACTCTTTGGATATCTAGGTTGCCATACTTTACTCCACCAGAATAAATTCAATAATGCTCTCATGGAAGAATTAGAAAGAATGACTAATTTGAACAGTTTGTAGTTGATTTTAACAATTACTGTAAACTAAACTAAACAAATGCAAGTAATACATATACATCATTCTACATCTACCAACATTACCATCTGTGTCTTGTTACTTAGGAACCTGACCTATCATTTTATGAAGTTTTTACTCCAAATCACCTACACTATCACCTTTTTTTGCGATTGTAAATAAATTTTCTTATCTCTTTTCATTAGAAAATGAATGCATAGTGTCATAGGTACATCTAAGTCGTGAAGATCCATACTTAGGAGATATTTGAGTACTGATTTATTTTCATGAAACATTATGTTATATATTAATGTTAAAAATGACCAAACTTGTTTCACACATGTGTTATATTTAAAATGTAGATAAAAGATTATTTTGTCTTGTTTATGTATTAAGACTTTAATATTCAAAATAATTATTGTGCTTAACATTAAGCGACCATCGTATATTTAAACGTTAACCAGCGACGTCTTGCAATTAAACTTTGCTTTTTCGCAATGCATTAAGAATCTCATTTTTATAAGGAAATCTTCCATCTCGCTTCGCATTCCAAATAAATCCAGATCTTTTATCTGGTCAACAAAGCCGTTCCGAATAAAATGATACATATTTCAACGGTAACAATGTCATAATTTGGATCTCCGAAGTACAGAGCGAAAAACACTTACCGCCGTAATTAAAAAATATTTCGTTGGTCCGCTGATAAAATCCGAGACGAGGACTCCCAACTGAGCGAGAATTTCGCAAAAATTAAGTCGTTGCCGTCTTATTGCGCAGCACGTGGGCGCCGGGTCAGGTAGAAGAAAGGGATTCTTCCATTTCTAAAGCTCAGATTGGGATTTATTGGACTTCTTTTCCAAATTCGTACAACGCCCTTATTTTTTTTAATTCTTTTTAATTTCAGAAGTGATATAAATATACTACGTCCTTGTAGCCGCAGTGTTATTTGTTTTTCTCTTCTTTTTCTTTGGGTGTTATTGGTCAGGAACGTGCTTTCACGATTTATTTATAGTTTATAACGACTCGAGATTAGATCACAATCACAATGATGATTTGATCAAGATACCTTGTGTATATGTGTGTTTATATTAATGTGTAATTAACCGGTAGCTTGTTCTTTCTTTTTATACTTCGAAATTGCGATGCTATTCGGATTTATTTCTCAGCAGTTATACGGGTGAAAACGATTTAATTTAACCGACAATGAGATATAGTTTGTAGATAAACTTTACGCATATATTCTCCTCCTTAGGAACCAATTACTTGATTACTAATAAGAAAATATGAAATTATTTCTACTTATAAATTACGAGATTTGTTATTCCTTTTTGTATTAAGGATACCTTACACATGACGATAGCCATATTTGGTACAGATACGGTTAACATGATAGAATATATAAAAGTCTAACAAACATGTATTCTAATATTGAAAACTAATTTATATTCACCAGAAAACCATAGTACCAATAACTTACACGTATATCGCTGCAATCTTTGCAGGCGTTACCACTTGCGAATACGTGTTTTGAATAACGCAAAAACTACACGTAAAGTCGCGATCCCGTCATGGGGTATTAGCATATTATTTTAAATTTATTATTGACGTATCCATGTTTTTGAACAAAACCACCTTTACACCGGTTATTTATTTTAAAGTGTAGGCAACTCAACTGCATGAAAATATCACTCATGTTATATAGATATTTTATAGTAATGTTAGATCTATTTTTATACAGTTACTAAATACATAGGATGTTCCCTAAAAAAATTATACGGATCATTTAGCTGAATCCGACGCTGTATATTTTTATTCTATATATAAAACGAGTTCGGAATTTCCTCGTCTGAAATTTCTTTTTTTATCTCTTATTTTAGCTCGTATATCGGGTTTTATAATTATTACAGAAAACGAATGTTACGATTCAGTCTTATTCAATTCAACAACTCTGTTAAATCAAAGATCACAGTACCGGTATTAACAAGAAATAAATATTCATTCCGAATTTCGATGGCGAATAATAAAAAGAAAAAATGGTGTAGCGGTTTATATAATCTGATGACGTTTTCATTTATGTTATCCTGAAACATAACTTATTGTTGGTGTAAAAATAATCCTTAAAAATTATTGCTTGAAAAAGCTTTTTCTCCATTTCTACCGCACTTACAATCCAACTCAAGAATAATTTATTTTGATTACACGTAAGCTTGTCTGGGCGTAAAGACACGGTACTAAAGATCGGGGATATGTTTTCTGCCAATCGTTACGACCATATAGAGAAGAGTTGAACGTAGAACCGGGGGATTCTCACTCAAGTGTGGCCTCTTCAAGTCTTAGGGCATTAAGAAAGTACATAATATACCTCCGGGTAGGGTGCATAGTACGTACCGAGTGCAATTTGCAAAGCAAAGCAAACACGCTCCAACACTCTGCCTGTGGAGTTAATGGTTCATAAAAAGCAAAGGTCTTTTACAATACCTTATACATGCCGTAGGCGTTGGAATACATTTGTAATTTTAATGTGTGTTCGTCCAGAAGACACCGTGATTTCAAATACTCTCGTAATGAACTCAAAATACAACATTTATTTAAAATTTTATAATAATTTGGAAAAACTCATCACTATATCAAATTTCCACTTTATACAAAAAAAAATAATTTGTTTTGTTAAAACACTTCTATATCGAATAAATTAAAAGATCTAACAAAGAATGTTGCAAATCTTCTAAAAAAATTTCAAATTTAGCAAATTAATAATGTTAATTGTAATGAGAGCTACGAAACGAAATTTAGATTATAACAATTAGAATAAATATGAATTAGGGTTGATGTTGTTATGTCTTCTAAAAATCAGAATTCTAACAAGAAGTGCTAAGATTAACTTTACCACTTAACCTATAAGCTGTACAAATTACTAACTATAATAGCAATGATAATTTCATGATTCACCCTTTTAAAAAAAATTTTAAAAACAACTCAAAAGTTGAAGATAGAATAGAGAATTTAGAAATCACATTGTAAGACTACTTCAAAAAGATGAATTTATTTAAATACAATTACAATACAACTTATTGCCAACCAGCCATGACCTCATCGCATTGAGGGGAGTCACCGAATCGCAAATATTGTCTTTATGGCATCCATCAGAACAACCACCTTCCAAAGCAGAGTCAGCTCGTCTCGTCAACCAATCGTTAAATCTAAATATCTAAATGATTTAGAATTTGTCACTACTCCAGGTTGCTCAAAATGTTTAAAATCTCGTTAATAAACATTAATAAATTGTCTAAAAGATTTTGTACTAGTTGATAACCAGTTCTTAATCATTTAGACAAGTTATTAATGTTATTAATTATAAATGCAAGCAAAGTATAATGTTAATTTCTCTCATATGTTTCATTGCAAGATCCATACCGTTAAAATACAAAAGGTGGAGATAACGATTCTAACAAGTTACGCATTTTCTACTTATTGGTGTCTTTTAATGTTCGTGAAATGTCATTAATTTGCCTTAAGATGTTCCTAACATGAGTGGTCTATCTAAGTTATTCACGATCAACTTATAAACAGGTTATGTTAAAAAACCAGATATTCTATGCAACTATTCCGCAAATCAATTGGTTTTTCATAATTTAGATTCGATTTTATATTCATTTAATAATCTACAAATACATCAAGATTATTATGTTAATATAATAATTATGTAATAATTAACATATTAGTTAAAACATAATTTATTTAATTATTTATTTTTGTAATTATTTAAATTGAAAAATTCATTGAGCTAATAAACATAAATGTCATGCAATAAACGCGATTTTCTTATTTGCTTCGTTTTTATTTCATAATTTTATTAATCCATAAAATACGATCATCATATAATCACAAAGATCTTGTATTCTTTTTAATCCATGAAAATTAAATAAAACCACAATTAAATTTTAATGACATTTATTTCATTTCAATTACTTTTTTTATTTCGTAATCTAAATACGTGTTAGATAGAATGTTTAGGATAGGTTTTAAAATAAATTTAAAAGATTACGTTATTTCCTTTTTTAGCAGCAACCGGTAATTTTTCACCGGTTAAAAATGGATTTTCACGATAACTCTAAAAAACAAAACAAATATTTATTTTGAACTAATTATATTGTCGTTTATTTACCTTCTTCGCGTGAAATTTCTTAGCAGCTAAATTTTTATGTTGAAACATAGGATCAACCTAAAAAACGATTGATAGAATATAATTTTTCGTTAACTTATTTTAATTTAAGTACCTGGCGAAGAAAATTATTGAAATCTAAATTGTTTAAATCATCCATTGCAGTCTCCAAGTTGTTTTCTCTTGAAACCATATCAGGACAATAAAACATATGTTCGCTATCACACATACAATTTTGAGAAGCTTGATAACGCCTACTGAATGAAGCTGTGTTTTCAAATTCTTCTAAACATCCTTGTTCTAAAATAAAATATTAAGTTTAAAGTTATTATTAAACTTTACATCATTTCTTTTTGTAATTTATAATCACCATGCATATTCATATCGTGTACCGTTAATAAAATTCATAACAAGAACATAAATTAAATAGTCAATTCAATCTTAATTCTTACCTGATGTATATTCTAAAGGACATGGATTGGGTGGATTGCAGTATGCCGGCAAAGTTGTGTCACTTTTCACCTCCATGTGATTTTTGTAAATGGCATCCGGTTTTAAACGTTGTTTCCCTTCTCCTGCTCCACCAGACATTAATTGACTACCCCATAATGTACTATGCTCCAAAAATTCCTGATCACGTAAACTAGGATTGATGTTGATGTCACTCCCGAAACTATCGTAATCTAAAGGAAACAATTGTTCTTCCTCTTCTTCGTCCAAAGCCTTCGCAAGTGATCGAGTATCCGTCATCGGACTATATCGACTTTCAACCGGTTGGTAATCGAGAAAAACTTGAGACTGATCGAATAAATCTTCTTTTCCCATCCTGCTCACCAAATCCCTTAATATGTCTCGTGCCAAAAAACTTTCTTTGTCAGCTCCATAAAATGCTGACACACCATACAATAAAACCGTGAAGAATATAAACGTGTGTTCCATATTTGATGTCAGCATCTAGAAGCAAATAACGTGAATGATATGTTAATTATGTGTAATGATGGTGATCTTTCAAAATTATTTTGTTTAATTTTACCTTACTTTTGTGGATTGAACACTGACACAGTACGAAGTCTGTTATCCAACCTGGAAAATCGAAAATACATCGAGACATTTCGCTTTTCCGAGCTTTCCCGAACGTTATAATCAATACATCTCCTACACTAAAAGTATTTTTGGTCATAATAGGTAATACGCTGGTTATGGATTATTTGTACATTCTCAGCATTGATCGTTTATGTAATGAAAACGTTGATATACGTTTTCAGTAAATAATAATGAAATTTATTACCGTTATAAATATGGTATTAACTTATTTTCCAATATATGTACATTGCAGAAATGTTTCTACAAAATGTATTTTTATATAACAAATTTTGTGATCTTCCTATGTACTTTAAAGATCGATACAATTTCAAATAAAAATAAAATATCAAGTTAATAATTTGCATAAGGGCCCATAAATTGGGCCCTGGCCCCGATGGCTTGCCGGGACACTTTATTGCTAAATGTGCAGGGGAGTTAGCAACTCCTCTATTCATTATCTTCAGCCGCTCCATTGAAAATTCAGTCTTTCCCTCTGAATGGAAAAAATCCTTCATAACTCCAGTCTTTAAATCGGGTAGCAGACATTTTGTGTGCAACTATCGTCCAATTTCCCTATTATCCATTGTTTCGAAGGTCTTTGAAAAATTAATTTATGACAACTTATATAGCTATCTTCGACCTGCTATTATCCCTCAACAACACGGTTTTTTGCGTGGGCGATCAGTTGAGACGAATCTGGTTGCGTTTGTTCAATACATTCAGGATTCTATGAATGATAACTCTCAGGTGGATGCTATCTACACCGATCTGACAAAAGCTTTTGACAAGCTTCACCATAACATTCTTATGGATAAGCTGAACAAGTTTAACCTATCTAACGGGCTGTCTCTATGGATTTCGTCCTATATATCTAAGAGATTTCAAGCAGTGAAAGTAAATAATTTCATATCTAGTTTTACTCCTGTTACATCTGGTGTACCTCAAGGTAGCCATCTTGGACCTATTTTATTTCTAGCCTATATAAATGATGTTTCTGAGTGCTTTCATTATTCGAATTTTTCTCTTTTCGCTGATGACTGTAAAATTTTTGCTAGCATCAGGTCTGCTTCTGACTGTATTCGCTTGCAAGATGACATTGACAGATTTGATTCTTATTGCTCACAAAATTACTTATTTCTAAATCCTGATAAGTGTTGTCAGATCACGTTCAGTAGAAAGAGATATAATGTTAACTTCAAATATATGATAGGTCCGCATTATCTTACTCAATCCTCTTCAGTTAAAGATCTTGGCGTTGTTCTGGATTCTAGACTACTCTATCGCGATCATATTACTTCTATCGTTTCTGAAGCTACTAAGCGCCTAGGATTTATCATTAGGATTTCTCGTCCATTTACTAACGTCCGCTGCATTACTTCTTTATATATGACATACGTTGCTAGCGGTTTAAATTCGCTTCACTAGTATGAAGTCCTGCCTATAATATTTACATCGACCTTATTGAGGGCCTACAGAGAAGATTTATCCGTTATCTTGCTCACAAATTTTATCTTCCGTACTGCCCTTATTCCCAAAGATGCCAGGTGTTTGGTCTAAGATCTCTCTGTGGCCGTCGACACAGTACGGACCTATTGTTCCTGTTCAAACTAGTTAATGGAGTTCTCGACGCTCCGGTTCTTTTAGAGCAGATTCACTTTAATGTTCCTTCTTATGCTACTCGATCACCATTTTTGTTCAGACTACCTGCTTTTGGATCTAGTGCGCATGCCGGTTCACCTCTGTTGAGACTGATGCACACTTGCAATGTTTATTGTTTCAATGTTGATTTCTTTTGTAATTCAATGATGTCGTTTAAAAAATCCATATTAACTTTAAGTATTTGTCATTAGTTTTTTCTTTGTAAAATTAATTTACTCAATCGAAACACATTCGTTTACCATATTTATATTGATTTCTTGCGGGTGGTGGGGCAGAAAAGAAAAGCAACAAAAATTTGTCCTTTCTTATGGTCCTTATTATTCTGTTTTTCTATCCGCGTAATATCGATGATTATGTGGACCAATCTAGTCTCTGTGTTTATTTTCTTTTCTGCTTCGTGCTTGCTGATTTAATTCCATTTTTTTTATTGTTTCATGCTTTTGATAAATTTTTTAGTTTTTTTTTTTTGTTCTTTCTTATGTAGTCTGTTTTCTTTTCTTTTATATTATTGTAGTGGACACTTTTTTGGGATTTTTTCCTGTACGTGTCCCGAATATGAATAAATAAATAAATAAATAACCCTTATCATGCCATAGATTCAAAGGCAGAGCCCAATTTTATATCGTCGTACCAGCGCAAAATTGGATACCCTGGGTTTCCTTTATCTCCCACCGGTTTCCATTCTTGTGTTCGTCTTGTTCTCTCCATCCTCGCGATGTGACCTGCCTAACGCCATGTTTCTTTCACTCATTTTCATGTTATCACTCATTCTTATAAGATAAGTCTTTCTAAAGAATACAACTTCGAATATTCGTCTAACTCAGAATCAGAAAGCGATGATACTATTGATAATGATGACCAACACTACATTTTTTAACTGTAAATTTTCCAACCTTATGAATAGGAGATAGTTGAGATTATCAACCACGTTGTTTACTGGACTATTGCAGAGTATTGCATGAAGAACGCATGAAATAAGCTATATGCTGACAAATTTTCTTTGTTGACATGTTAATATTCCTAGGTGTTTACAAATCCCGTAACGAAGGAGTTAATTATTATGGTATATAGAATAATGAACGCTTCATCTTCAACAAGACTATAGTTGGGAACAAGTTCACTACAATTTCCTAATCTTTATATTTTGATAATTTTGAATTAAGGAATTACAAAGGTTTGGATAGCCTGTGACAATAAAACTTCATATGGTTATAACTGCCAAATATATATTGAGAAAAAAGGTTACAGGCTTTGTACAATTCGAGAAAATAAATTGGTACTTGAGAATTGTTCATCACCTTTTAGTTTCTCCGCTGTTTTCATTATGTGTTCTTTAAATAAGAGCAAATTATAAATATAATAATACTAAAATACCTAGGCGTTACACTTGATAGAACGGTTTTGATAAAACTGATACTTTTCTAAATAGATAAAAAACTATCGATGCTATTAAAATTTCTTTTCGGCAATATCAATATAAAGTGTAAAGAAAATCTAAAGACATTAAAACTATCTTAGCCGAATTTAAACTATATTATTTATCGTTTACTACATATTCACTTAATCATGAATTCTTTAAATAAATTTAGTTTTAGGCTGTGATTATTGTAGTTATGTACCTTTTTATTGTATAGTTTGGGCTTTGGTAACATTTCCTTGTAGAAGAAAAGTATTTGATTGTAGAACGATAAAAGTTATGCAATCTTTATTCATTGTAAATATAGCTGAGGTAAACCCCATGATTCGGTGACGTAAAATAATACTGAGAAAAATCCAGACGATTTCTTCTAGTGAAATATCACACTTAAACTCGAAGCATCTAATAGTTGATGTAATATGGATTTTTTGATGATGAATATTGTTCTTGTAAAATTTTTTAATCTAGATCATAAATATTAAAATTTGAAACCCTAAGTTTAAGATATACATAATGATAGGGTGTGGGTATAGGATAATGATGGGGTAAAAGTTTTTTAAGAAAAATAAAACAAATCAATTTTACCGATAAAATATTAATAAACATATATTTTAATAACGACTGCCTAAGGAAGTCTGTGTTATAAAAATAAAAGTTGGTTATAAATTGTATAGAATAAATATAGCATCCCATTCGTACGTCCCTTTAATAATAAAAAGGAAACCTTCAGTCAATTTCTTTCAAAGAATTCCAATTACCGATACGTTATGCCTCCTGTTTATGCAACCTCCCCGATATTTTCTCAAAATACATCAACCGCCGGTCAGCAGCGTGCCCATCCTGCCGGCTACTACTTTATAATTCAGAGCACGTTTCATAGACTCTGCATTGAATCACGAGCAGATGTCCGAGGTTTTTGCACTCTTCGCGGTCCTGTTGGCCCCATAGTAGGTTTACGGACACTTTTATTCATCGATTCCGACCATGATCAGGACCCCATCCTCGCATATACCATAGTTGAACTGAAGAAAATATATTGTGACACTTACAACTCCACGAAATGCAAAACAACGTTTTCACTGAACTCGATACCATCCAATAATAGGTAACTATTAAAATCTAAACTAAGTTCTAAAATCGAGCATTCCATACATTTATCTTATACCTGAGAAACTGATCTTCTAAAAAAAAGTTGTATGCTAACGAACTGGTTATGGCAGAGCAGAAGTGTAGCGCTACCGTAAATATGGCGAGTGTAAATTTATTACCTTGTGGTGCCACTGATTTTCCATTCGATACTCTTTCTCCTGGGTCGTTAGTTGCATAAGGACCGGAATTGAAAAAGAAAATATGAAGCGGAATGAAAAGGTGATGAAAAAAAGCAACTAAACTTGGTGTGATAGCTTTAGAAGCCATGAGCTAAAACACGCCCCCAATAAACTTATGTGGTAGCAATAGTTTAATCCCACGATTTCATTTCTCATTGGATGTAAATCAATTTCGAATGGTATGTACTGAACTTGGATGATCTAAAAATAGCTACCCGAGTTGGTCGTTTCTTCGCGAGATGTAAGAGGATGGGACAATTGCCCGGGGCTAAGAAATTTTTAACCTGCCTTTCAAAACCCACTACTTGTTGACAAGCACTTTACGTAGCTTGTTAAAGTTGATATTGCAGTTTCTCGTTTTCAAAGTTAGTTATAAAAGCTAAAAATTTAATTGAAGTGGAGATGAAGAAATGGTGATTTCCATTTGACATTTGACACGGTTTTAAATATCGTTTCCTATATCAGATTACCGTTGCAATGAACATGCTCTGAAATAATAATCATGGTGGTACCGTTGATATATTAAAACGCGATATTGTTAAACACGCCGCAGGAAACTGTTACCATAC